GCCTTTACATTCTTATAATGTGTGTGTAAACAAGAGTGCGAGTGAGTGAAGCATCTGGCACTCAGCTCACAACTCTGCTCCAAAAATTGTGTCTTGTGAATTGTATTTTCTCTGTTTTTCTCCCCAGTGACTTGACGTTCAACTCTTTTTATTCTGTTTTTGGAGTTCATGTCTCTTGAATGTGCTGGTGTGTGTGTGTGTGTGTGTGTGTGTGGTGTGTGTGTGTGTGTGTGTGTGTGTGTGTGTGTGTGTGTGTGTGTGTGTGTGTGTGTGTGTGTGTGTGTGTGTGTGTGTGTGTGTGTGTGTGTGTGTGTGTACTTGTTTACCATTTGTGCCTGCAGGATCGAGCTGTTAGCTCTTGGACCCCGCCTTTCTAACCGTCAAATGTACGAACTCCCGAGCTCTTTCCCTCCATTATATTTACTGTTTACATGTCTAACACACCCACACACACATGCCTTTTGACTCCCAGCAGGAACCTATTTAATGCCTGATGAACAGTGTCCCCTGTTCACCCGGAACATGAGAAATGGAAGAAATAACCCATTTGTTTCTACTTCGGCCGGGACTCGAACCCGTGGCCCTTAGAACTACGACCCCCCACTATAGTGCTTCTTCCCTATTTGTTACCTGCTTCTAGGTTTATTTCGCGTTTCTTTATATAGGAGTTCCATGCTGGGGCAGCATACTCAATAACAGGTCTCACATAATATGTATAATATATATTATATCTGGAGGGGGGATTCCTCCACCCTCCAGAAAGGCCAGACGTTCCCGGATGAAGACGACGGACCTCACCTTAGTGAAGACGGCCGCAGAGTTGCGCTGTCATGACAGGTATTTCCTAACGAGGGGGAAGGGGAGAATGTGTCCACGGCAGCTGGAAATGCACGGCCGGCGTGTTTGGTCACGGGGGCAGACGAGCGGAGCGCTGAAGGTGAAGCAATAGCATAGGAGTCATGCATTCATTCATTAACCTGCCGCCGCGCCCACACCTATTTCTCTTACTCTTCGTTCCAGCCTCATATCCCAGTTCCTTGCCCTCATGTCCCAGTTCTCTGTCCGCATATCCTAGGTCCCTGTTCACGTATCCCAGTTTCCTGTCCTCATATTCCAGTTCCCTGTCCACATATCCCAGTTCCCTGTCCACGTATCCTAGGTCCCTGTCCACGTATCCCAGTTCCCTGTCCACGTATCCCAGTTCCCTGTCCGCATATCCCAGTTCCTTGCCCTCATATCCCAGTTCCCTGTCCACGTATCCCAGTTCCCTGTCCGCATATCCCAGTTCCTTGCCCTCATATCCCAGTTCCCTGTCCACGTATCCCAGTTCCCTGTCCACGTATCCCAGTTCCCTGTCCGCATATCCCAGTTCCTTGCCCTCATATCCCAGTTCCCTGTCCACGTATCCCAGTTCCCTGTCCACGTATCCCAGTTCCCTGTCCGCATATCCCAGTTCCTTGCCCTCATATCCCAGTTCCCTGTCCTCACAATTGTTGTTGTTAAAGATTTAGCTACTCAGAACGAAGTGTCCATGTAGCACGGGCTATGGTGAGCCCGTAAAGTCCTCCAGGTATTATATACTCATACTGGCTCAGGTGTTTCTCCCAATAATTACCCTGTACTGGACCCACTATCACCACCGCTGCTGCCGGCTGATCCCCATTGTTTGTGTAGAGTGTAGAGCTGCGCTCACCGGAGAGTAGATGGGAGTAGTAGTAGTGGAAGTAGTCTCATCGACTCTGCTCCTGGTGCGTTATGGATTCACACTACAAGCATATCCATTTTCTACGTCTAAAATTTTCTACGTCTAGAATTTTCTACGTCTAAAATTTTCTACGTCTAAAATTTTCTACGTCTAAAATTTTCTACGTCTGAAATTTTCTACGTCTAAAATTTTCTACGTCTGAAATTTTCTACGTCTAAAATTTTCTACGTCTAAAATTTTCTACGTCTGAAATTTTCTACGTCTAAAATTTTCTACGTTTAAAATTTTCTACGTCTAAAATTTTCTACGTCTGAAATTTTCTACGTCTGAAATTTTCTACGTCTAAAATTTTCTACGTCTAAAATTTTCTACGTCTAGAATTTTGAGACGTGTGTTTTGTACAGTCTAAATGTGCTGTGCTGCTCTCTCTCTCTCTCTCGTGAGCAGTTTATTGTTATTTGCGAAACAATGTTATTTTCTTAAGTAACTCAATATATATAAATATCTCAGTCTATCTTCCTGTTTTGACAGTCTTATATAGTACATATATATGCGCAATATTAGGCCTATGAATATTTTCGTTTGATTTTTAGATTTATTTTGTCCGGACTCTATAAAGGTAATAGTGCCCAATTGTTTTATCTAATTGGCCAGTACGTCAATATATATGTACGGTGCTACACATAGTTACATATCGTACTATGTGAACAGGAGGATGGGGTTATCTTGGTTATCTTGAGATGATTTCGGGGCTTTAGTGTCCTCGCGGCCCGGTCCTCGACCAGGCCTCCACCCCCAGGAAGCAGCCCGTGACAGCTGACTAACACCCAGGTACGTATTTTACTGCTAGGTAACAGGGGCATAGGGTGAAAGAAACTCTGCCCATTGTTTCTCGCCGGCGCCTGGGATCGAACCCAGGACCGCAGGATCACAAGCCGAGCATGTTGTCCGCTCGGCCAACCGGTTCCTGAGGTTATCTTGAGATTATCTTGAGATGATTTCGGGGCTTTTTAGTGTCCCCGCGGCCCGGTCCTCGACCAGGCCTCCACCCCCAGGAAGCAGCCCGTGACAGCTGACTAACTCCCAGGTACTTATTTACTGCTAGGTAACAGGGGCATTCAGGGTGAAAGAAACTTTGCCCATTTGTTTCTAGGTTGCCATATATATCGTCAGTGAGTAATTTATTCATTCATAGAGACGTTTGTCACTGGCGTTATTTAGCGAGGTTGTTTAGCACCGTCTTGTCCAGCGCTAACAGGAACCTTGTAATTAGTGAAGCTTCTTTGTTGAGGCAGTTAGTACTTCCTTGTGAGAGAGTGTTACTGTGCCCTCCTCCTGCTCCTTCTCCAGCTCCTGCTCGGCCTTCACCTGCTGCTGGTCCTCCTGTTTCTCCTCCTCCCCCTTGTTCGTCCTGCTCCCTCTCCTCCTGTTTTTCCTGCTCCCTCTCCTCCTGTTTCTCCTGCTCCCTCTCCTCCTGTTTCTCCTGCTCCCTCTCCTCCTGTTCCTCTTGCTCCCTCTCCTTCTGTTTCTCCTGCTCCCTCTCCTTCTGTTCCTCTTGCTCCCTCTCCTTCTGTTTCTCCTGCTCCCTCTCCTCCTGTTTCTCCTGCTCCCTCTCCTCCTGTTCCTCTTGCTCCTTCTCCTTCTGTTTCTCCTGCTCCCTCTCCTCCTGTTCCTCTTGCTCCCTCTCCTCCTGTTTCTCCTGCTCCCTCTCCTCCTGTTCCTCTTGCTCCTTCTCCTTCTGTTTCTCCTGCTCCCTCTCCTCCTGTTTCTCCTGCTCCCTCTCCTCCTGTTCCTCCTGCTCCCTCTCCTCCTGTTTCTCCTGCTCCCTCTCCTGTTTCTCCTGCTCCCTCTCCTGTTTCTCCTGCTCCCTCTCCTCCTGTTCCTCCTGCTCCCTCTCCTCCTGTTTCTCCTGCTCCCTCTCCTGTTTCTCCTGCTCCCTCTCCTGTTTCTCCTGCTCCCTCTCCTCCTGTTCCTCTTGCTCCCTCTCCTCCTGTTTCTCCTGCTCCCTCTCCTCCTGTTCCTCTTGCTCCCTCTCCTTCTGTTTCTCCTGCTCCCTCTCCTCCTGTTCCTCTTGCTCCCTCTCCTTCTGTTTCTCCTGCTCCCTCTCCCCCTGTTTCTCCTGCTCCCTCTCCTCCTGTTTCTCCTTCTCTTCCTCCTCCCCCCTCCTCTTCCCTGGCCAAGGCCCCCGCGGCTCGTCCAGTATCTCGTCCGTCTCTCCACAGCTTTATTTTTCTGTCCGGACGGG